CATTGTGGCCGTGTTCATAATTGATATTATTGAGTGTTGGCTTTTTCATTAATAATGCTTCCATTATTTTAACCATTTTGTAAATGTGCACGAGGCTAATATATTTGTATTATCAACGAGTATGTTATGGATAAAAAAAGAGAGTAAAAGAGAGAAAAAAGAGAAAAAAGAGAGAAAAAAAAAGAAAAAAAAAAAGAAAGAAAAAAAATAGTCAAAAGGAGAAAAAAAGTCAAAAGGAGAAAAGAGTCAAAAAGAGGAAAAAAAGTCGAAGAGAAAAAAGAGTCAAAAAAGAAAGAGAAAAGAAAAAAGAAAAAGAAGAGGAAAAAGTCAAAAAGAAGAGAGAAAAAGAATCCAAGGGAAAAAAAGTCAAGAAGAGAAAAAAAAAGTCAAGAAGAGAAAAAAAAAGTCAAGAAGAGAAAAAAAAGAGTCTTCCTTTTTTTCTCTGTTTTTTCTCCCTCTTCCTTTTTTTCTCTTTTTTTCTCCCTCTTCCTTTTTTTCTCTTTTTTCTCTCTTCCTTTTTTTCTCTTTTTTCTCTCTTCCTTTTTCTCTCTTTTTCTCTCTTCCTTTTTTTCTCTTCCTTTTTTCTCTTTTTCTCTCTTTCTCTTTTTCTCTCTCTTCCTTTTTTTCTCTCTTTTTCTCTCTCTTCCTTTTTTCTCTCTTTTTTTCTCTCTTCCTTTTTTTCTCTCTTTTTTCTCTCTTCCTTTTTTTCTCTCTTTTTTCTCTCTTCCTTTTTTTCTCTCTTTTTTCTCTCTTCCTTTTTTTCTCTCTTTTTTCTCTCTTCCTTTTTTTCTCTCTTTTTTCTCTCTTCCTTTTTCTCTCTTTTTTCTCTCTTCCTTTTTCTCTCTTTTTTCTCTCTTCCTTTTTCTCTCTTTTTTCTCTCTCTTCCTTTTTCTCTCTTTTTTCTCTCTTCCTTTTTTCTCTCTTTTTTCTCTCTTCCTTTTTTCTCTCTTTTTTCTCTCTCTTCCTTTTTTCTCTCTTTTTTCTCCCTCTTCCTTTTTTCTCTCTTTTTTCTCCCTCTTCCTTTTTGACTCTTTTTTCTCTCTTCTTTTTTGACTCTTTTTTCTCTCTTCTTTTTCTCTTTTTTCTCTCTCTTCTTTTTTCTCTCTCTTCTTTTTTCTCTCTCTTCTTTTTTCTCTCTCTTCTTTTTTTCTCTCTTCTTTTTTCTCTCTTTTTTTTCTCTCTTTTTCTCTCTTTCTTTTTTCTCTCTTTTCTCTCTCTTCTTTTTGACTCTTTTTTTCTCTCTTCTTTTTTCTCTCTTCTTTTTTCTCTCTTCTTTTTTCTCTCTTTTTTCTCTCTCTTCTTTTTCTCTCTTTTTTCTCTCTTTTTCTCTCTTTTTTCTCTCTTTTTTTTCTCTCTTTTTTCTCTCTCTTCTTTTTTTCTCTCTCTTCTTTTTTCTCTTTTTTCTCTCTCTTCTTTTTTCTCTCTTTTTCTTTCTTTTTTCTCTCTCTTCTTTTTTGACTCTTTTTTCTCTCTTCTTTTTTCTCTCTTCTTTTTTCTCTCTTCTTTTTTCTCTCTTCTTTTTCTCTCTTTCTTTCTCTCTTTTTTTTTTCTCTCTTTTTTTTCTCTTTCTTTTCTCTCTTTTTCTCTCTTTTTTCTCTCTTCTTTTTCTCTCTTTTTTCTCCCTCTTCCTTTTTTTCTCTTTTTTCTCCCTCTTCCTTTTTTTTCTCTCTTTTTTTATCTCTCTTCTTTTTTGACTTTTTTATCTCTCTTCTTTTTTGACTTTTTTATCTCTCTTCTTTTTTGACTTTTTTTTCTCTCTTCTTTTTTGACTCTTTTTTCTCTCTTTTTTTTTTTTGACTCTTTTTTTCTCTCTTTTTTTTTTTTCTTTTCTTTTTTTTTGACTCTTTTTTCTCTCTTCTTTTTTTTGTTTCTTTTTCTCTCTTCTTTTTGACTCTTTTTCTCTCTCTTTCTTTTTTTGTCTCTTTTTCTCTCTCTTCTTTTTTCTGTTTTTCTCCCTCTTCCTTTTTTTTTCTCTTTTTTTCTCTTCCTTCCTTTTTTTCTCTGTTTTTTCTCCCTCTTCCTTTTTTCTCTTTTTTTCTCTCTTCCTTTTTTCTCTTTTTTCTCTTCCTTTTTTTCTCTTTTTTTCTCTCTCGTCTTTTTTGACTCTTTTTTCTCTCTCTTCTTTTTTGACTCTTTTTTCTCCCTCTTCCATTTTTTCTCTGTTTTTTCTCCCTCTTCCTTTTTTTCTCTGTTTTTTCTCCCTCTTCCTTTTTTTCTCTGTTTTTTCTCCCTCTTCCTTTTTTTCTCTGTTTTTTCTCCCTCTTCCTTTTTTTCTCTTTTTTTCTCCCTCTTCCTTTTTTTTCTGTTTTTCTCCCTTTCCTTTTTTTTCTCTTTTTTCTCCCTCTTCCTTTTTTCTCTTTTTTCTCCTCTTCCTTTTTTTTTTTTTCTCCCTCTTCCTTTTTTTTTCTCTTTTTCTCTCTCTTCCTTTTTTTCTCTTTTCTCTCTTTTTTTTTTCTCTCTTTTTCTCTTCCTTTTTCTCTTTTTTTTCTCTTCCTTTTTCTTTTTCTCTTTTCTTTTTCTCTTCCTTTTTTTTCTCTTTTCTCTTCCTTTTTTTCTTTTTCTCTCTTTCCTTTTTCTCTTTTTCTCTTTTCTTTTCTCTCTTTTTCTCTCTTTCCTTTTTTCTCTCTTTTCTCTCTTCCTTTTTCTTCTCTTTTTCTCTCTCTTTCCTTTTTTCTCTTTTTTTCTCTCTTTCTTTTTTTCTTTTTTCTCTCTTCCTTTTTTCTCTTTTTCTTCTTCCTTTTTTCTCTTTTTTCTCTCTTTTTTTTTCTTTTTCTCTCTTTTTTTTCTCTCTTTTTTCTCTCCCTTTTTCTTTTTTCTCTCTTCCTTTTTTCTCTTTTTTCTCTTCCTTTTTTTTCTTTTTTCTCTTTTCCTTTTTTTCTCTTTTTCTCTCTTCTTTTTTCTCTCTCTTTTTTTCTCTTTTTTTTCTCCCTCTTCCTTTTTTTTCTCTTTTTTTCTCTCTTCCTTTTCTCTCTCTTTTTCTCCCTCTTCCTTTTTTCTCTCTTTTTTCCCTCTTCCTTTTTTAATCTTTTTTCTCTTTTTCTCTCTCTTCTTTTTTCTCTTTTTCTCTCTATTCTTTTTTTTCTTTTTTTCTCTCTTTTTTTTTGACTCTTTTTTTCTTCTTTTTCTCTCTTTTTCTCTTTTCTTTTCTCTCTTTTTCTCTCTCTTCTTTTTCTCTCTTTTCTCTTTCTTTTTTCTCTCTTTTTTCTCTCTCTTCTTTTTCTCTCTCTTTTTCTCTCTCTTCTTTTTTCTCTCTTCTTTTTTCTCTCTCTTCTTTTTTCTCTCTCTTCTTTTTTCTCTCTCTTCTTTTTTCTCTTTTTTCTCTCTCTTCTTTTTTCTCTTTTTTCTCTCTCTTCTTTTTTCTCTTTTTTCTCTCTCTTCTTTTTTCTCTTTTTTCTCTCTCTTCTTTTTCTCTTTTTTCTCTCTCTTCTTTTTTCTTTTTTCTCTCTCTTCTTTTTTTTCTCTTTTTTCTCTCTTCTTTTTTTTCTTTTTTTCTCTCTCTTCTTTCTCACTTTTTTTTTTCTTTCTCTTCTTTTTTCTCTTTTTCTTTCTTCTTTTTTTTTTCTTTTTCTCTTTCCTTTTTTCTCTTTTTTCTCCCTCTTCCTGTTTTTCTCTTTTTTCTCCCTCTTCCTTTTTTTCTCTTTTTTCTCCCTCTTCCTTTTTTTCTCTTTTTTCTCTTCCTTTTTCTCTCTTCCTTTTTTTCTTTCTTTTTTCTCTCTCTTCCTTTTTTTTCTCTCTCTTCCCTTTTTTTCTTTCTTTTTTCTCTCTCTCTTCCTTTTTTTTCTCTCTTTTTTCTCTCTCTCTTCCTTTTTTTCTCTCTTTTTTCTCTCTCTCTTCCTTTTTTCTTTTTTTTTCTTTTTACTTTCTGAGAAGTTTCTGAAACGGAATTCTATTCCTCAATGATTTTAACATTATCAAAAATCCTTTCAGCAAGAATTACATTAAACAATACTGGAAAACTAGAGCTGTAAATATTATATTTTAGAGACCGGAATTTTTTTCTCTTACTTTTGGAATTTTTAACTTCTATGTAATTCCTATTTTCTTTAAAATGTCCTTTTTTCATCGAATTCTCTGTCTATGATATTCTCACTGTTTTTTATTCAAACTAGATCTGGGTTTTTTTTTTGTTTTTTTTTTGGTTTTTTGGGGTTTGTTTTTCTAAACTATTTGTAACGAAATTGCCCAGCTCAGACTGTCATATAGAGAGGTAGATATTGCAAAGCAACCCAATACAACGTTCTTTGTTTCACATTTCTTTTAATTTTAGGCTCTACGTTTTGACGGTTATTATTCGCGCATGAGCACACACATATGCAACATTCCCAAGATTGGTTCATTATAGTAAAAGCTCTTGATTGCTAGAATAGTTGACATGTACCTCGTAAATTAACACGGACTCGATGAATGGCTGGTCGCATTTATCGTTAACTAAAAATAAAGTCTGTTCGTTATGGCCAATGTGATTCACAAGTGATTTCTTAAATTCGATATTCTTTAAATCCATGGACGTTTAATCAAGGTTTTCTTTTATTTCGAATGTAATCAGAAAAAACACGGAATAGAACACCACAAAGAGAAAGACATAAATTGTGTAAAGATATACATGATGCCTCTATTATTGTGGCCATTTGCCAGACTAAGATCAATATTTATATCAATCGCTCGACATGGAACGATGATTGACATACTTATCTAACAAATCATTACTAAGGTTATTAAACCTGTTTTCGCTCGGTGCTAGATTAGCGATTGTGCCAGACTATGCTTAGCAAACATCACCGTGTACTAGCAAACATGTCTCACAGACCATTACTACAGTAGTGAGTTCGATTCTCAATAGATGCCCTACAATGGTGGCCTTGTACCAGACTCTTTTGATAACTATATACCTACAGTTACAGATTTTTCATGTCAGGGAAAGTCATGTCTTTTGAGTAAAGGTGCAAGCATTCCAACATCTGTATAAATAATCGATTCCTACATTGAAAATACCTGGGCATATGCTGGATCTTCTTGCCCATCCCTTTTATTTAAACGAGGCGTGGGTAATCTACGGCCTGCTTCAGGAATTTATGCGGCCTGCAAGAGCACGAAAATTGTATTTTTTTAAATAACCCTTAAGAGAAAGGTAACAAAGATGCGAACCCCAATGTCGTTTTTCTTTCTCTGATCTCTAGCTCTGTCGTTTTCTTTTTTCTGATCTCTGTCCGTGTCGTCTTTTCTGTTCTCCTACCTCTGTCCGTGTCGTCTTAGCGTTCTCCTACCTCTGTCCGTGTCGTCTTACGTTCTCTACACTCTGTCCGTGTCGTCTTACGTTCTCCCTACCCTCTGTCCGTGTCGTCTTACGTTTCTTCCTTACCTTCTGTCCGTGTCGTCTTACGTTCTCCTACCTCTGTCCGTGTCGTCTTACGTTCTCCTACCTCTGTCCGTGTCGTCTTACGTTCTCCTACCTCTGTCCGTGTCGTCTTACGTTCTCCTACCTCTGTCCCTGTCGTCTTACGTTCTCCTACCTCTGTCCCTGTCGTCTTACTTTGACCCGCCTCTCCGATATCTCATTGTGTCGTTTTAACTTTCCCTGGTCTCTGGCCATATCGTTTTTCTTTCTCCGATCTCAATCTTTTCTCACGCTGTGTCCTTTATCCTCTTTCTCATCTCTCGATTATGTTTCCTTAGTATCTCTCTGTTTGTCGATTCAATCCTCCTCCTCCTCGTCTCTCTCTCTCTCTCTCTTTCAAAATTCCTACATGCTCTTTTTTCTCTTCCCGTTCTTATTCTTACACGCAAAAAAATTCTTTCTGAATTATTTTCTTTTTTTGTTCCTTCCATTCTACCATTTCAATTTCCTTCTTCTTTTTCTCTGTTTTCTTAATCATCACCCAAGGCTCTTTTCTTTCTTCATTGAATCTCTATCCTCTCTCCTCTCATTTTCTCATCTTTCTCTTTCACGGAAACCCCTTTTACTTTTACCACTCCTTCCTTCTAATTCCCTTACCTGTCAGACTAGCTTGTTTACTTACCTGTCGCTCGTAAAATAACTATTATTACTAAAATTCTTACACTCGAATATGGCTTGAAGTACCCTTTGACATTTAGTGTTTGTGCATTCGCATTTTATTTGCTCGATTATTTATGTTTATATCAAACTTTTTTTTATTTTCTCGCTTAAATTTCTTCTGAAATAATAATTATAAAAAAGTTTAAAATAAGAGATGAGTGTCTTTAAAAACGAAATTTTAAACAAACAAAAATACGAGTTTGTTCATGTAGTTGTTTATTCGAAAAACTTCAGGTGATTTAAGTGTATTAAGAAAAACAGAAACCACTTATCGTATATACTTGTATTATATATATTATCCTATTATACTAATCCGACTTCACGTTTTGAATAATTTTTGGCATGTTTGGTTTGTTTTACGGCATATCAACCTCAATGGGTTATTTAATGCCGACAAAACTTTTATTGTTGGTAATACTTTTTTTTTTTTTTTTTTTTTTTTTTGGCAGGTAGTGCTAGTCTTGCACAGTTTTTTTCTTTATTCTTACATTCAGAATGCTTTAAAATTCCATTTACAAAACAATTGTTTATAATAAAATTCTATTCAAATCGGTAGACTCATAACGATTGAAAACAATGTTTTTGTTTGAATTTGGGTTTGACCAATTCGTAAACAAAACAAAAAAAAATACTAATTAAGACATGCGTGTCCGTCAACCTTAAACAATAACCTTTGTCAATTTTATTTTTCAGTCTTTATGATGGTCGATACTTGATCTATCTCTTACTGTTACAGCACCGGGCAACGCCGGGCTCTACTGCTAGTAAGTTAATAAAAGGAGGATAGATAAATAATCCGCTTCGAAAAGGCGGAACAAGAAATCTCTCAGCAATTACGTTACTTCAGAGGACACTGACGAATTTTCTAAGTTTGGTTTGGTTTATTTTGTTTTACGGCATATCAACCTCAATGGGTTATTTAATGCCGACAAAAATTTTTATTGCTGGTAATATATTGTTTTGTCAAAAATCTGTTTCTGGTAATATATTTCCTTCAAAATTGTATTGCTGGTAATAATTTTTTTTCAAAAAAGTATTGCTGGTAATAGTTAACTATTTGCCCATAGCTGGGACCCTAGCAGGTGGACCTGGGAACACCAGCAATTAAAAGGTGGTTCCACGCTCCTCAAAACCTGCTGATCAAAGGCCATGCTGCTGGACGTAATTTAACGTCTTACCCAGGACGCGGATGTAGTTTAACGTCTTACCCAGGACGAACAAATTATATAAGTTATTCAGAAACACCATAAATAACCTGAAAGTAAGGTAGGTATTCAAAATAAAAATAAAAACGATTTTATTCTAGCACACAACGAATGAAAAATGTTATCTTTTTATTCATTGATCTTTTTTATGTTTTCATTCTTTTTCTTCGTTTACCTTTTTTTTCTTTTTTTTTTTCACTCTTGCTTTTAAAATCTTTCGGCGCCAGTTCTGTGTTCCGCGTCCCTTCAGGACATAGGCGACTATGGCTCTCCACAACTTTCTATCTCGTGTGGGTCTTAGCAGTTTTTCTTTCTTTGCTAAGGACCTCGCCCTGTCCTGCCATCCATTCACACAAGCTGGTCCAGGTACGTGCCTCGCTGCCTTCCTCTATATCTCTTACCCTCAATATGCCTCGTGAGGGTTAAGCTTTCCAAGCCCTCTACCCTCATTATGTGACCAAGGAATCTCGCTCCGTCCATAGAATTATTAAAATCCTTCTGTAGAATCAAATTTCTGCTGCCTCTAGTTTTTCCTTATCATTGGGGAAATTGTCCAACATTCACTGTCTTATATGATGGTGATGGACAATGAATAACACAGCATTCTAGTTTTTATTTTTCTATTTTTTTTTTTTTTCCTAATGATTTTTCCCGTTTCTCAATGCCTTGCTTAGCATTTGGAAAGCCTCTTTCGCTAGTCCAATGGATGTTCGGATCTCGGTGTCGCATTTTCCATCCTCTGTTAAAACGCTTCCCAGATATTTTGAACTTCTCTGCCTGCTTGATGTCTATATCTCCAACTCATAAGTTGCATTTTAGACTTTTTCTTTTCTCTTGCTGATGATCATACATTTACTCTTCTTGCAATTGATGGTTAGTTCTTTTTCTGGATTTCTTCTTCCACTCTGTCTGCGGTAATATAGCCTCTTTCTCGAGTCGACCATCAACGCAGTCTCATCTGCGTATCTTATATTAAGATTACACCCACTGTTAACAAATCCTGGTAATGTCTCCAGTTCTCTTAGCATGGCATCGCTGTAAAGGTTGAATTAATCTGGGGAGAAGATGCATCCTTGTCTCACGTCCCTTTCTGTTTTTGTATAGCTACTCCATTTATTTTCTATCTGTATGCAGGCGGTTTCCAGATTTAGTTTTCCAGCAGTTTAAATAGATCCTTGTGACGCACATTGTCAAATGCTTTTGCGTAATCGATAAAGCCAAAGTGCACAACCTTCTGCATTTGTATCATTGTCTCTGATATTATTCTGATCATTAATATCGCATTTCTTGTTCCGGTGTCCTTGACAAAGCCACGCCGTTCTTGTCCGATTTCTGGTCTAATTCGTGCTCTATTCATCAGGAGTCACATCATTAGTTGGGTTATGTGGCTTATTAAACTAACAGAATCAGCATGTTTACACCTGATCTCTTAGATAATGTTACGAAGATGGATTTAGTGAGGTCATCCGATACGTGTTATTTCTGGTCCGATCCCATCAGGCCTTGCTGTTTTTTCCTATTCATCTCCTCCAGTGCTGATCTTTGTATTTTAGTATTTCTGTTACAGTAAAAGCATTTGCAACAATATTTCGCACATGTAAAATCACGCTGAAACACCGGTTCTCGTACGATCACCGAAGTTAAGCATCGTAGAGCCAGGTCAGTACTTAGATGGGGGACCGCTTGGGAACACCTGGTACTGTAAGCCCCCAAAGTCCAACCCTTACCTCACAGTCGGTGGGGGGGGTAAACAGTGATGTCAGAGCTATGCCGCCGGAACTTCGTTCCTGGTAGGCCACCAAGGCGGACAGGTCTGACACACACGCCAACTAACAAGGGCTCTGGTGAAAATCCAAGGAGCGTCTGCATCGGTAACCGGCGGCTTCTGGTCGTTCCTGTCTCTGCGTCTGTGGGAATCCCGCGGCAAGCAAGAACGTTATCCGAGTAGGCCTGGGTACCCTACTTCTGTAATTTATCCCAAGAATCTTCTTCTCATAACAGGAAGAAGCCGGCTCAATCCGCCCAGGGTGAATGCCGCATCAGTACAGTACAGTAGTACATGTAAATGATGGATGTAAAAAAAGAAAAAAAAACGTAAAGAAATTCAACAATGCAATTTTATAATTTTTTTTTCTATAACCGAATAACAAGAGAGAGAAAGAGAATATGCAGTATGCATACAAAATAAATATATTAAGTGTGTGAGAGAAAGAAGGTTCAGTCACTCGGGAACAATGACTCGTTGGAGTTAGTTCTACCTCATGAAAGGAAAAAAGAGAAGGACTGGAAGAGTCATGTTTTTTGTTATATAGAAATAGTGTCGCTGCCAACACTGGAGTTTGAACATAGAACACCAGAGAGCAAACACAGGCGATCCCATTTTGAATAAGTAGATCACATGATGGCAAAGGAAATGTATATATGGTAATTAGCGTGGTCTAATCGATCATCATTTCTATTCTATCCTCTATTAATATACTCATTTTTCCTATCCCTCTATTAATATACGGATCACTTTTCTATTCTATTCGGATCATTTTCCTTCTATCCTCTATTAATATACGGATCACTTTTTCTATTCTATCCTCTATTAATATACGGATCACTTTTTCTATTCTATCCTCTAATAATATACGGATCACTTTTTCTATTCTATACTCTATTAATATACGGATCACCATTTCTATTCTATACTCTATTACTATTTACGGATGGCGATTCTCTTCTCTATACTGATCACTATTCGGTGGTTACTATTCGAGCGAGTATTATCGAGCAAGTACTATTAGTGCGAATCTCACTAGTATTGTCCAAAGGCGTTGCTATAGTTGTATCTGCGATTACAAAGTCTCTACTACAACGAGCATTACGAAAGTGACAAAGAACACTCGTTGCCACATTTTTAATGTCAACGAATACTCGCTGTCATTTTTATAGATACTTAGCAAAAAGAACAGTCCAACATGCCAACTACAAATCGGAGGTACCAAAATCAAACAAGTACAACAGTTTTAATATCTGGAAAGTGTTTTAATAGAGGACGGAAAGTACAGCACTGAAATCCGAAGGCACATTGGGATGGCGAAAGATGCCTTCTAAATGCTAAGCAGAGTATTAAGAAAAAGAAAAACCTGTTAGAACTTGAAGCAACAAAAAGTTGGTTCTACAGAAGGATGCTGAGGATATCATGGAGCGATTATAGGAGCAACGACGAAGCTTTAGAGAAAATTGAAGCAAAAAGGAAACTTATACTTATCAGAAAGATACAATTGAAATTTCTAGGGTACATAATGAGGAAAGAGGACTTGGAAAATCTGATACTCACAAGACAGATTGAAGACAAGAGATGACAGGAAAACAACGCATAACCTATTTAACGATGAATGAATGGCGGAACAGGGTTTCGGAGAAATAATAAAAAGACTATTAAGAGCTACGAAGGATAGGAAATTGTGGAGAGCCATGATCGCTTACGTCGTGAGGGGCCACGACACATGGAGATAATGCCACCTAATAACTTCTTGGCAAAAGTGGCAAAGATATGTGGGGATAACTTACAAAAATAAAGGAGAAATGAGTGGAAATAAAATTGTATTGCTCCAGTCTTACAATTAGAGAGGATCTGCTTTCCGAAAAATTGTCACTAAAAATTCTGGCCATGTGAACTCGAACACAGACTTTGTATATTTCACTTCTCGCTCTTTAGTTTCCACTTTCACAGGCTCCGTTTCCCTCACAACATGTAACTTTTCTCACTTTTCCCTTTTCTCTCTTTCTCTCTCTCTTTCTCTCTCTCTTTCTCTCTCTCTCTCTTTCTCTCTCTCTCTTTCTCTCTATTTCCTTCACTCACTCTCTCTCTCCTGTATTTCCCTCTCTTTCCCTGTATTTCCCTCTCTTTCCCTGTATTTCCCTCTCTTTCCCTGTATTTCTCTCTCTTTCCCTGTATTTCTCTCTCTTTCCCTCACTCTCTCTTTCCCTCACTCTCTCTCTCCCTCTCTCTCTTTCCCTCTCTCTCTCTCTCTCCCCTCTCTCTTTCCCTCCTCTCTCTCTCCCTCTCTCTCTTTCCCTCACTCTCTCTCTCCCTCTCTCTCTTTCCCTCTCTCTCTCTCTTCCCCTCTCTCTCTTCCCCTCTACCTCTTCCCCTCTACCTCTTTCCCTCTCTCTCTCTTCCCCTCTACCTCTTCCCTCTCTCTCTCTTCCCCTCTACCTCTTTCCCCTCTCTCTCTCTTTCCTCTCTTTCCCCTCTACCTCTTTCCCTCTCTCTCTCTTTTTCCCTCTACCTCTTTCCCTCTCTCTCTCTTTCCCCTCTACCTCTTTCCCTCTCTCATCCTGTTTTCCCCTCTACCTCTTTCCCTCTCTCATCCTGTTTTCCCCTCTACCTCTTTCCCTCTCTCATCCTGTTTTCCCCTCTACCTCTTTCCCTCTCTCATCCTGTTTTCCCCTCTACCTCTTTCCCTCTCTCATCCTGTTTTTTCCCTCTACCTCTTTCCCTCTCTCATCCTGTTTTCCCCTCTTTCTCTAGCTCTCTCCCTCTTTTATGATCTCTCGCTCTGTTTCCCCCTCACTCTCTCTCTCTCGCTCTTTCTCTCTTTCTTTCTCTGCCACAATGCAAAATACTCCACAATTTCATTTACTCAAGCTCTCACTTTATCCATCTTCATTGTTTTCATTACCGTTGTAACACTTTCTGTTAGCTTCTTTCTCTCATTATGACTTCGATCCTGACTGGGCGTCTGTCCCACTTTTGTAGCTCGGTAGGGAGAGAAACTTATAACGTACCTCGTTTCTTTTCTCCTCTGCTTTCTGTTCTTTTTTTTTCTTTTGCTATCTCTCTCTATCTCTCTTTTCTATGTTTCTTTGATGATTTTACACTTTTTTTATTTCTTTCTTCTCTCTGTTGTCCTTCCTCCTCCTTTCCGCTTACATTTTCTTCCTCCATATGTTCTCCTAACGCTCCCTCTTCCTTTCTTTCCGCTCTCCTTATTTCATTTTCTTCTTCCTCTTTCTTTTCATAGTTATCTCCCTCTCTTGCTGTCTCCTTTTCCCACTCTTTCTTTGACTCTTTCTTCTCCCCCACTTCCTTTCTTTCCGTGTTTTTTTTTTTCTTTCTACCTCACTTTATCACACTAACGTTTCTTACCCAACCATGACTCTAACATAGACAAACAACCAAATCTTTTGAAATGTCACGCATTCATTCATTCATTCAGTCATTCTTTTCATCTAATGACAAAAGTATCCTTTTCCACTCCAAACTTCCTTCACGTGATCGCAAACAATATTTGTTTTTATGTTTCGCTCTAAATAAGACGATTGAGAATCTCCAAACTCTAAACTGCCAAACTAAATACTGAAGGAATTTTTACTTCAAGAAAAATGCACATTTTTAAAGGTTATTACTTTTTTTCAGTCGATGTTGTGAGTGGGTTTGTGTTCATCTGCCTTGTGCTTGTGTGAAGGGTGCACCTGGAGACGGCTGTCCAATTTCAGTGTGCATTGCAGTGTGTTGAAGAATAAATATCTATATTCATCAATGTACAGATAGTCCTTCATAATGACAGTTATTGTTTTTAGCCAATAAAAAATGTAGTTTTCTTTTGGCTCCAGACTTTGGTCTCTTAAAACTATTAGTTTTATCGCTTGTCTCATATATATATATATATATATATATATATATATATATATAATGAATCGGAATAAAAGCGAAGAAATAAACAATTTTCAAACACAGCACTACAAATTATTAATAAATTTTATTAGTGAGTATTTTTTTTTCAAGTGTCCTCGCGAAACAATCTCGCAAAAATATTTTTCTTTACAACACAAAGAATAATTTTTTAGTGTGATAGATTAAATAGAATGACTACATAAGGAGAGTGCCACCTATTTACGTTGTTTTATGAATTCGTGTAATTTTCCAGTAAACAGATGTGACTATTGTTTACTTAACTCCGGTCTGTGTTTTCTACGGAAAGTGCTTAGACGAACTATATTCCCTGGTCCCGCTAGTTCAAACCTTGATGGCAAGGACACGCCATGGCACTTATATAGTAGCAAACCACCCATATACCCTCGATATTCCATTGGTAAGAAGTTCCACTCAAACAGATTCTTCACGCGAAACGCTAACCTATGGAACAGACTCCTAAGTGAATGTTTCCCCGATCACTACAATCTTAATGGTTAATCCTAGCCTTGAACAGGTTATCTTCCTCTCTTATCCGCACAAATTGCCTCTTAACGTAATCTTCTATATCGAGTGGCCCCCGGGCCTTGTACAGGATGAACACACACACACATATATATAATATATGATTTGTCAAGGAAATGTCTTCTTGATATTCCGACCGGGAAAAATGATCCCGTCCCGAGGCACCGTTGGGAAGTGCCTGAACTAAAGTTTGACCCAAGCGAAAAAAAATGAGTGAAATTCGATAGACAGAACTAATCGGAAACTGTATGGTTTTGCTAGTACAAAGGGTACGAGGGTTGGATAATACCAGCCTTGTTCATCTACTGATCACACCAGATTATGTGCTCTCTCCCAGAAATTGTAATAAGATCTGCTCATGATAGTTACAGTATAAACTGTATGCTGGTTGTGTGGGTGTTTAAGAAATACAAATCTGACTGAGCAGGTTTCTGCAGCTGAGATAAGCTCGCCATCCTCGCAGACGCTTGGGGTTGGAAACAGGTAACCATTGTTGCTGCAATTATTATTGTTATTAGTATTATTATTATACACATGCCTTCAACTTATAACACTGTATTTAGAAAATGTTAGTGTTCGGGGATATAGGTAGGTATTTGCTTATATATTTATAATTTCCAAACGTAACGTAGATGTGGCACAAGGACGAAGGTAAGGGCACCGTCAGGATGGAACTCACTACTCGGTCGTAATTGTTCTAGCGAGACAAGCTCGCTAACCATTATACCGATATATATTAAAATATGTGTATGTCTTTGTTTTTTTCCATTTCTATGCGTGTCTACTTAAATTATTCCTAATGATTTACGCCGTGACAATCCTCTTCGACATTCCACCTGTTCAATCGAAATGAATTATTTTTCTCCAAATGATTTTAAATATTCAGAGCATAGCTGTGATTCTTTCCTTTCCGTCCGTCTTTCATCCTTTCCTTTCTACCCTTTTTTCCTTTCCTTCTCTTCTTTCTTCCTCTCGTTTCCTTTCCTTCTCTTCTTTCTTCCTCTCGTTTCCTTTCCTTCTCTTCTTTCTTCCTCTCGTTTCCTTTCCTTCTCTTCTTTCTTCCTCTCGTTTCCTTTCCTTCTCTTCTTTTCATTTCTACTTTCTCATCTCTCAGTCACTGTTTCCTTTGCGGTAGACTAGTTGCTAACCAAATCTATAGGACCCAGTCTCAACCCATAGCTTGGAGAGAAGAGATGTATCCATACCCCTTTTACAAGGGTAAGTAAATGTAACGAACCTGACTGGAATTCGAACTCGGCTTTCCGATTTCTCATACCGAGCCCATTATACTACACCATACATTTATGGTATTGTCATTAAAATTTTCTTTCTTTTGAGATATATAGTATTTTTACGCCCCTTTCATTCTCACATATATTATAAAAATTGATTATAGCGTATATAATTAATAGCAGAGGTACTCGACAAATTTGCAAATGAAATCAAATGAACGTTCGAATAGCAATGCAGGTGCTCATTTATAACAAGACTGTTTGCCACAAGAACATCTTATACTTGTATACTAGCAAAGTAGCTGTAAAAAAAAATACGGGATTATTTACGTATGGATCGCTACATCCGTCTAGTGTCGCTCCCCGATATTTCTGCATAGTATTTTGTAAATTGTGAAAGGTTTTACCAACATAACTAATATATATATATATATATATATATATATATAATCTCGATCTGGGGGTGAAAGCATGCTGACAGTTCTCTTAGCCAAGAAGGGAATCTTAAAAAAAAAATTGTTTCGTTATGTTTTTTTGCCATATTTTAGAAACTGGAAAACCTCTCAACACCACACACACGCATATATATATATATATATATATATATATATATATATAATGTATTATGAAATGGACAAATTCCGACAATTATTTTAAGACATTTTTATGCTTATACATTCTTTTTATAGATACAAATATTTAAGCAAATGCTCTGTTTATAATAATGAGCAGATATGTATGTACGTGAGAGATTCATAGAAGATTGAAGTTCAAACACAGTAAATTCGACCTTGCTAACCGAACGCTCCTCTGTGGCCAAATCGGTAAAGGCACGTCAAGCTAAATGACGGTCCCATATAGGATACAGGTTCGAATCCTGTAAGAGAACGAATATTTTCTATGAAAATTTCTCGGATATTCAGGCCGGTAAATGTTGTTTAATACTGTTTATTATAAACAGAGCATTTACTTAAATATTTGTATCTGTAAAAAGAATATATATATATATATATATATATATATATATATATATATATATAATTGGAATTAAGATACCTTTAGTAAATGACCACTTTCACCTACAATTTTAAAATTCGCAGGATTTTTCAAACTATGGTACAAGTTTGTAGTGTACTGTTTATTTGGAGAAAGAAAGGTATGGAGAGAATAAGGCATCGTTACTGGAATCATATTATGGAGGTAGGCTGACCTACATCCTAATGGTCACACGGTCAAAATTTAATTCGACGGGAATTCACGGAAATTAACGAAAACACGAAAAACAATAAGTGAACATTGAAGTCAACAATTCAGAGGCAACAGGACGTTTCATGCTAGACGCAATCGTCAGGCCGGCTTGACGATTGTGTCTAGCATGAAACAATCTGTTGCCTCTGTGTTTACCTCAATGTTCACTTCTATATTTACATACATCTCTGATATTGAGCACTTTATCCTATAACTATAGCACACCTTAAAACTATATTTCTTCACATATATATATATATATATATATATAATTACATGTAGGTATAGTCACGTACTTTCTTTTGTGTGTGGAATTTTTTTTTTGTTTTTTTTTTTGTTTTTTTTAGGAAAACTGAATTACGGCGTGACATTTTGTTGTGCCAAGCCCAGATCTGGATCGCCCCGCGACAGGGCAAACAAGTAGCGTAGAGTGTATTCGGCTTATGACGTTAGCGATATGCTCACTGATCTCATCCGATATATACTGGCGTGGCAGTGTGAAAGACGGAATTGAAATGCTAGTGGCGAAATATAATAAATGGAATAGCGTCTTCAAATTCATTCGGAATGAGTGTGTATTTATTTAAAAGTTGGGTAGTTTAAGTTTGAAAGTTTGGGCGTGGACGAGTGACATTTACTTTTTATTTATTTTTTTATTTTTTTTATTTTTTTATTTTTTTTATTTTTTTATAGAAATCAAATTTCAAAAGCATACTCTTCGTATAACTAAAAAGAGACGCCAAATTTCAGTTTTAAATATATTTGGATTTTACAAGTCGATGTGAATATTCTCCAGACAAAACTTCAATAATTTTTCTTCTTCGTTGTACGTTGTACTGTCAAGACATTATTGATCGTGGGTTTTCACAACTTCCTCTATTTTGTAGCTCTTAGTAAGGTTAATCTTTTCGTTATAATCTTCCAATCCCTGTCATTCAATTACACACGCTTCGTTGGCAGGTCATTCACTGCTTTCCTACCCACTTTGTTTTCAATGTGTCCGATGTCCAAACCCTCTTTCCACAAAACGTGCCCTTAAATGTTTCAAATTTCTCTTTCCAATTCTAAGTATAAGCGCCCCCACTTTTTTTTAAACTTACTTGTTACTCGCATATTCCGTCCATGGTATTTTCAGCATTCTTCTGTAGAACCAGCTCTCTGTCTAAAGTCTCTTCATATATGAGGAGGTGGATCAACACCCACTCGCATATAAAAGAACTGATACTGCATAAGTCAAGCACTATTTCCTTTGTTTCTAACGGACAAACAAATACTCTTTACCATCTATAAGCCAATGTATTTAACGATAAAAACATAATATTTTACAATAATAATACATGAGGTAGCATCAGAAAGTTCCTGTTACTGTACCGTGCAACGGAAATGTGAGTACAGATAATGTTCGTTGGTACCTTACCTATTGGACCAATCTGTCAATTGTTCATGCTTATTACTTGATCTATTGTAAGGTTGTGTTGAAACGGCTCTGCGATGTTTACAATGAGTGACAATTTCGGGCAATGTGTCTGCATCAAATTTTGCTTCAAACTCTGGAAAACCGCTGCTGAGACCTATGAAAAGCCAATTTCTTATCTCTAGGCGTAACTGTCTATATTTCTGAGATGAGGTATTAAGTACACTATTTACATTATTCGGACTATTGTCCCCAAGGACACATAGCACAGCGGATAAAGGCATTAGATCCAGTGACAGGACCCAAAGAGTGTGAGTTCAATACCTGGTTAAGGCGGTGGAGAACTTGGAGAGGGGAATTAACAGCTGATAACTGACATCCATTAGACCTGGCACGTGAAACTAAAACAGTCTATCCCAGTAAGCGAAATAAAGAGTTCAGTTCGACATTCCAACCACCAGAAGAAGATCAGAGCGTACAACGGCCGATACGTTGTAATAAATATGGCGACAAAGTTGAGGACAATAGTCCAAAAAATGTAAATAGTGTATTCTCTAGGCGTTTCAAAAATTTTAAAACAATCCCAATTGGTCAGAATTCCTATATAGTACTAAACATAAGTATCACATTTGCGTGGGCATAGATATATAGATATATATATATATATATATAAACCTAATAGTGCAGCCGCTATACTATCCACACGGACAATTTGTTTCCGATGGTGAAAATTTGTGCAGAACCCGCATCACTTTTCGGAAGAACTGATAACTGAAATGGTGTTCAATGTACCACGCGGTATCCAAACAGCTCCCCTCTGTTTGAATTTAGAGTTGAAATTTCTACGGCGCATAATGAGGAAAGAGAGTTTGGAAAATTTGACACTTACAGGACATAGTGGAGGCAAGAGGAAGAAAAGAAAGCAGCATATAAACTACCTAACGAGCTTGTGTAGATGGATGCCAGAACAGGATTTAGGAGAGATAGCAACAAAACAAAATTTACTTAGAGCTACAAAGGACAGGAAGCTGAGGAGAGTTATGATGACCAAAATCCTGAAGAGACATGGCACATAGAAGAAGAACAGTCTATAACTTTCATTAGTCTTTTACACATTGATTTCATTATCCTTGCCACTGTTCTGACTTTAACATTACTTGCAGTTTTTATTGCTTCCCAGAGATCTTTGCTTAAATACTGCTTTCTGTTCTCCTATGCATATCTTTTTTTAAAGATGAACCTCAAGTTTTCTATTGGATTACTATTAGAGAGGTTGGAGACTATAACAACAAAAAAGACGCATGTAGCATCAGAAGGCTGAAATTACGGCACATAATGAAGAAAGAGAGCTTGAAAAATTTGACACTCATAGGACACCGTGGAAGCAAGAAGGGGGGGAAAGAAAGCAGCGTATAACCTACCTAACGAGCTCGTGTAAATGGATGGCAGAACAGGGTTTAGGAGAGATAGCAAAAAGACAAAATTGACGAAGTACAACAAAAGACATGGCGCATAGAAGATGCTGGCTGCCACTAAAGATGCAGAATCCAGTTTGCTTTCTCTTCAACCATTTATCGGACGATAGTGCAACGTGATTGAAACCTTGATTCGTTTTCTACGGTTTATCAACTTTTTGCAGGTTATTTAAAGCCAGATAATATTTTTTAGATTGTAAGATTTTTTTTGTACACGATAATAATGGTTAATGATATGTCTTACTAATTAACCCATAGCAGGAGGAGGAAGAAGTGGATTCTTATATTTCCCAAGTGTCTTTTGCGTGCAAGTGAATATAACGAACTCTACGGGAATTAGAACTCTACTTTCCAATTAACAAATCTGAGCCATTATCCATTACACCACCCGCACATCCAAGCTTACAGCACCTGGTATTCCCAAACGACGCTGCTAAACTTCGGTAGTCGTACAGGAACCGATGTTTCAATGTGATATGGCCGTAAACCATCACACGTAAGCAACGCTTAGTAAATCACTATATTTAATATTTACCTGGAACCAGCCAGGGAAGTTTGAAATTAATATTAGCTCAAGCCCCAGATGGTAGGGGAGCATCCAACCAGCCAGTACCTCTCCTGTTGGAGGGGGCTTGGGTCCTTATCCAGCGTCTGAGATGTCCCCAAAAAGGGAAACACCGAGGTCGCATTATCGATTACACCACTTGCACATTCAAGCTTAAAGCAGCTGGTATTCCCAAGCGGTCACCCACTTAGGTGCTGACCA